GCAGACCAGACACATGATCAGTTACAGAGATGAGGACTACAATTGTTATGAGGGTTTCCTCTTTGTATGTACACATCCAATATTTGGGGTTCATTTATACAATATAAGATGAAGATGGGGTTGTGTGCTTTCAGTTGTACCCATGTTAGTTGTGTCATGCTACACGCAAGTATGTCTTTGTCTTTGTTTAGATTCTGTTTGGTTTACAGAGAAGTGTGTAGATGCCAAATACACATGAGGTGGAGTGTGATAGATAGGTTTAGTGTCAACTTGGCTGGGCCAGGGTTCTCAGTAGGATGTGATCTAATCGCATGGTGAGCAGCTAAGCAGTTGTGGGCAGATGAGGGTGGAGTGCAATGGACAGGCAGTTTCCTCCTATTTCAGCAAACTCTGGGGGAAGCCGTGCCTTTTCCTCCTGGTATGAATCCTGCAGCTGTCTCATCGACCTCTGGATCTTTGGACTTCAGCCACCAGCCTGCCGTCTTCCCTGCTCACCCTGTCATCTCTCAGTGCCTGCCGAGTTGCCATCTTGCTGGAGCACATATTTGTGGGGGAACAGCCTGAGGAGCAAGCTCCTGGGAGGGAATCAGAAAGCGGATGCTCTCCGATGCTGTGCTGTGCCTTCAGGGGATGAAGCCCCGAGGGGCCTCCCAGTGCTGGTGCCCAGTGGGGCACAGGGTGGGATGTAGTGGTCAGGTACCGTGGGGATTGGGAGGCAGAACTCCCAGGCCCAACTCAGTGAGCTGTTTAACTTCATCCAGGCTGACGCTTCTCCCTGAGCTGTCACGGAGGACAACGAGCTGGAAGCACTGTGTAAATGGCCAAGCACCTCACACCATGAGCTTTCTGTGAGGGTCCAACAGGGTGGGACCGTGGACGCTGATGCTTGGGCTCTCAGTCTAACCTGCCCAACGTGACTCTGAGGGGCATTCCACTCAGCCCTGACCGTCATCACCATAGCCCACTCTCCTGATTCCAGTCTTAAGATGTTGCCACAAAGAGCTGCATGAGGATGAGCCCATTTGAGCTTCGTCGAACATAATTCACCGTGGCCCTCATGTTCAGTGTCCACCTTCCTATCGAGGGGTCTAAGTGGCCCGAGGGCACAAGGTGGCGAGGGCTGATGTGCAGGCTCTCTGAGGCAGGGAATGTGCAGGGAGTCCTAGGGAGGAAGAGCAGAAGCTGGTGATGTCAGTGCTCAGGGAGAGGAGCAGGATGGCATGGCGGGAGGAGTACAGCATTTCTTCCCCATCATGTTTCTCATGGGACAATAGGGGATGAAAACGGCAGTGGGGACAGACAACACTCTCAGCACCGGGACACCAGCCACAGTGACACAACAGATCTGGTTCTCCACTTTGGTGAGTGACAGGGCAAGCAGGGCCTCTTTGGGTACAAGGGATGGTGTGGCCAGCCGGGGGACCCTGACTAGCAAGCTTCAGGAGTAGGAGGTGAACCAAGACCAAGCTGTCCCCCATCAGGTCCATCGCAACTCACAGCGACCCCACGGGGGGAGTAGGACAGCCTTCGTGGGCTTCTGAGGCTGTCGGGCCTCATGGGAGCAGACAGCCGCTGAGGAGCCGGGGGAAGTTTTAAACTTGGTGCTGAGCAACAAAACTCGTGACCCACTCCCCCACCGAGTGGCCGTGTCATATCCCAGCTGGGAAGAGCATACCTCACCCAATTCTTTCTGCGAGGCTCGCCACTCCTCATGCTGGAAATGTTCACAGTGTGGTCGAGACGGAGGGATTGGGGAGCTGGAACAAGGAGGAGCACGTGGGCAGCCATGAGGAAGGTGGGGCTGGAAGTGAGATGGCTTTGGACATGCTCTTGTGGGTGATCGCGTGTGCACCCCTGATGATGGGACACAGCAATCACCAGGGCAGATGGGCACACGTGGGAGATGACCCTTGATGGGCAGAGATGGGAACCGAAGGACAAAGCTTCCATTTCAGGTCTGAGGCATGCAGTGTGGCACCAGCCCCACACTCAGTTAGAGGTTCCAGTGAGGTGGACGCCTGTGTCGGGAGCCCACTGGCTGGGGGCTCCTCACAAGGAAGCCCCAGATGAGTCTCAGCCAGATCCTGCCTGCCGGCCTGTCTGCCTTCTCTGCTCAACCCGCCCTGGAAAACATGCCCAGGGAGAAGACAGTGTGTGCCAAAGACGCCCAAGGAGCACACCAGGTGGAACCAGAGCATCTGAGCAGAGGGGGTGGGTTGACCATAGTGACCTGGACCTCCATCAGCACAGACTAGGTGGCTTCTGGAAAGAAATGGGGCTCTGACCTTCAGACCAGGGTCTGATATTGTGGCACTCAGACAGCAGGGTGTCCTGGTCCACAGACACACACGTGGTGGGATGTGGCCTGGACAGATGTTGGCATCATACAGCTGTCAGGGAGGAACATTTTGTTGCACTTGCCTTGACTGTTGGTGTGGGTTTTACACATTGGGACATAAGACCCTAATAACATAACTCTTCTTCACCCAGGCTCAGGGCAGATGGCAGGAGGAGGAGGCCTGTGTGGGGCTGTAAAACCCAGTAGGAACGGCACCCAGTGAGGTCCATGAGGTGTCCCCTGCACAGGACTCTGAGGGGAAGCTGCGTCCCTGACTGAGCAGTGACCTGGCCAAAACGAGCAAGCAGGTGACTTTGCAACAAACACCAAACTCACTGCCAGCACCCCCACTCAGACTCACAGACACCCTGTAGGACAGTAGAACGGCCCCTGCGATGTGTGGGCCTATAGAACTGTTTATAGGAGCAAACAGCCTCAACTTTCTCCAAGGGATTATCATTGACTGGTACAAAGATAGATGAGACCGCGTTTCCCCCGCCCCCCTACAGGTGTGCTCACATCTGAGCCCTTCACTTTACACAATGTGTCCTGGTGGCTCAGTGGGTGAGGCATCCAGCTGCTACCCACAATTTGCAGTTCAGAGTGATCAGCTGTCTGCCCCACTGATGAGTGAGTTCCAGGCTCAGAAGCCTTAAGGGGCAGTTCGGCTTCATCCTCCTGGGGTGCTGAGTTGACATGGACTGGACGGTGGTGGACTTGCATGGGACACCCCACACCTCTTTGGGTTCCTCAGTGACACTATCCATCCTGCCTCCTTTCAGAAGCAGACCCCGCGGGTGCAGTGTGTGCGGCACATGACTGTGTATGTCTGTGAGGACAGGGGAACCACAGGTGAAAGGAAAGCCAGGACTTTGAATCTCATGAAAGATTTGCTGGGCTGAAAGGGGCGGGGTAGACATTGAGCACTGCTAGGAGGACACCTCCTTGATTGAGATTGGGGATATGGGGGGGGGGGCAGGAGGCTCCCTCCTCACCTCAGGTGTAAGGGTGGGCGAGTCCCCACTCACCCTCTGATGCTGGACACGAGAGATGCCAGGTGGCAGCTGGCCCAGGACCTTGGCTGCCACGACCCCGCCCCCTCCCCCCCTCTATGAGCCAGGAAGTCAGCGCAGGTGTGAGCAGTCTGGACAAATGTTGGCATCATACAGCTGTCAGGGAGGAACATTTTGTTGCACTTGCCTTGACTGTTGGTGTGGGTTTTACACATTGGGACATAAGAGCCTAGTAACATAATTCTCCTCCCACCCAGGCTCAGGGCAGACGGCAGGAGGAGGAGGCCTCCACCCCAGGCCCTCCCTCCCCCAGCCCCTTCTCTGTTCCCCGTAGGTTCTTCACCAGTGAGATGCAGGGCTTGCCATGCTCTCCGATGGGAGGGGACAAGCTGAGGCAGGGAAGCCTGAGGGAGACTCAGGCCCCTCCCCTACTGTGACAACCAGATTCAGACCCATTCCTCAGTGGTCCCCAGTACAACACCCCTACCCACCCACCCACCCCTGCTTTTCTGGGCAGCCTCTCCACTCTCCACCCGTGGTGTTGCCAACAGATCCCTGACACACCTGGCGCTGGCCCCTGTCTGGATTCCCTTGCCTGCTCACACCGCCAGACTCTCACCAGGGGCCGTGAGGGTCAGGAGGGTGGGGCTGGAGGTGAGATACTGGTCTTAGGCTCCTGGGAGGCCAGCATTGGGACCAAAGTCCATGGTTACTGCCGGGCCCCTCAGGATGGTCCCTGTGAGCAGCTGTTTGGGATGCAGGTGCCAAGCTGGCTGGGCACAGGGTGCTGTTGGGAGGAACTTCCTGTCTTGGACAGCCACAGACGCAACCTAGCCCAGGCCATAGTTCACTTGTAGAGCCAGACAGCATCCTTACTCACAGGGGGAGCAATGGACAGGAGCTGGCCAGCAGTAGGTGTGCCACCCAGGAGAAGGTGCAGGCAGGGATCTTCCTGGGATCAGGCCCACTGGCCTAACACCACCAGTGCCCCATCCTCATCAGGCCTGAGTTCAAAGAGACCAGTCTGAAGGGGAACATGGGGGCAGGGACCTTCCTGGGTTGGGTTGGCCCACAGGCTCACATCACCTGAGGAAGCGGTCCTGCTGGATGCACCCCAGTAGCTGAGCCCATGCCTGGCTTGTTTGCCTAGGACTGTACACTTGATCAGCAGGGGGCACCAGTGAGGTCCTGCTCACCTCTGAGATAACAGCATGCCGCCTCATCTGGGCTGCCAAGGGCCAAGTCTGAGACACAGCACCCACCTGGGTGAAAAGCTGAGCCAAGCCCAGCCCTCACCTGGCTTTGGGCTGTCCAATGGGGGCAATCTCAGCTGGGGAGGACTGGGGGCTTGGGAACTTCTGTGGCCCCGGGTGTGGGGGCTAGAAACACGAGGTGGGACCACCCTTTGGGGGCCTCAGATATGGGCCTAGGTGTGTCCAAAGTTGAAGTGGGCTGGTGCCCAGCTACGTCCATGGGGAAACAGTGAGTGGGGGAGGACCATACTGGTCCACTCAGGAGCGCCCAAGAACCAACAGTTGGAAGGACGAGGCGCAGACAGTTAAGTAGACCTACCTGGCTCCCACCACCCCCACACCCTTGCCCAGCCACTCTGTGAGCGACAGGGGCACAAAACCGGCAGAGAACAGTGCTGCTTTGAATACAAAACTGTAAACACAGTCTTTAAAATGGCAGAGGCCTCCACTGGGGTGCAGATCAGCACCCACCCTGCCCTCCCTTTCTACCCTGACAGCCCAGCAGGCAGGCGGGCAGGCAGGCCGCCTCAACTCAGCCTCAGGACCCACCTGCTCTAAACCCTGGGGCCGGCGGGCCGGCCAGCAAGGCCCCCAGGGGTCGAGGTCCTTCGTAGGGTTTCCTGAGTTGCAGCAGCAGCAGCTGGGAGCCCGCGCGGGGAGCCCGCCCCACCCCATGCCATCCCATGCAAACCGCTGGTCTCTCCACCTCCTGGGTGTCCCTAGGGGGTCCCTGCGGCCTGTCACGTGTCCAGGGTGTCCCGTGTGGATGAGGGCCCGTGGGGGCGCCCGGGCGGGCCGTGCAAGGGCTGCGGCTGCTGCACTGAGTTGCGCTGCGGGGGCTGCAGCTCCAGAGCGAGAGAGGGCGGCGGGAAGTCGCGCACCTGGCGTCGGTACTCGAGGAAAGTGCAGGCCTTGGTGGCAAGCGCCACCACATTCTTGCCGACAAAGATGGCCGAGACGCGGCTATCGCGGAAGAGGGCCATGTTGGCGGCGCGCGCCAGCACAGCGACCACGTTGACAGTGGCCAGGCTGAGCACCGGGTAGAGCATCATCTTCTGCGGTGCGATATGCTCGCCCTGCATGCTGACCTCGCTGAGCGCCACGCAGGGCAGCACGAGCAGCAGCATGTAGCAGTAGAAGAAGGTCAGGCCCTCGGCCCACAGCGGCAGCCCGGTGCGCGGTGGCTCCCACAGGTTGGCCTGCATGTCCAGCAGGTCTAGCAGGTCCAACGCCACCCAGAAGAGCCGGCCACGCAGGTCCTCGCGCTTGCGGAAGGTGCGCACGTACTCCATGCGGTCCAACGCCACGAGCAGCAGGAAGAGGCCCGGCACGCACACGGACAGCAGCAGGGTCAACGCCTTGCGTGCCACCGGGTCGGCCGCGCCGCGCCGCGCCGCCTTGTAGTTCTGGAAGATGAAGTAGAGCTTGATCTGCAGCACGAAGATGTAGAGGAACCAGAGGATCATGGCGTAGCCACGCTTGGCTGTACGCACCTCGGCGCCCACCCACACAGCCACGTAGCGTAACACCAGAAGGAAGCACACGTCACCCACCAGCACGATGATGCACACACCGATCTTGCGCGGGCCTTGGTTCTGCTCCACCAGGTAAGCGTCCATGACAGCCATGCTGCCCATGATCACCAGCGTGGTCAGGCACACGTGGCGCCGGTCCGGAGGCGGCAGCACCATGGTCGGCCACCGGGGCCTGGCCTGGGAACGCACGGCCCCCAAGGGCGGAGAGGCAAAGAGAGGGCCTGCAGGGCCTGCGGCGCAGTGGGGCGCTGGCGCTCAACCTGCGGACATGGCCCCCCGTGGCCCGGCGCCTGGGCTAGCTGGCTGCCCGGAGGACGCCACCGCTCTTGACCGGCGAGCTCAGCACCTGAGGGGAGGAGGACCAGAGGAGTCAAGGTCAGGGTGCGCCCTACCTCGGGGGCTGGACATTTCTGGCACCAGGAGTGGGTTTTGCGTTGGAATCCAGCTCCCGCCCCAGTCCCGTGCGCGCGGGCGCATGAAGCGAGGCCCCCAGGGGGCGCTCCAGCCGGAGCCGCGGGGCCAGAGGCCTCGTTCCCGCCATCCGTCGCCAGGGCAGCCAAGGAACGGAAGTGGTTTCTCCTTGGCTGGCGCGCACTCTCGCGCACAGCCTCAGTGCTCTCTGCGGGGCCCACGCCACCGGCCGGCCCTCGTGGCTCGGACAACCGCCTACTCAAGACTCAGCCTTCCTCCCATCCTCGCTGGCCAGGAGGACCGCCTGAGCGGTTGCCACAGGTCGGAAGAGACCCCCATCCCAGATTGGGCTCTGGGACTGTAAACCCTTCGAGCCCTGGAGATTTTGCTCCTACCTGGTCCAATTATGTTGGACCACCAGTTTCCCGGGCTCCCCATTGCTTTTGGTACCTCCAATTGGCCTGTCCTGTACACCCCACACCCCCTGACTCACCTACTCTTTTTTGCCCACTCACTCCTCCCTCTTCAGTGTTCTATAACACTCACTGGGACCCTCTTTGGGCTCCCCGACTCCAACCCATCCCTCACACCCCTCTTACAAACAACAGACTGCCCCGTGGTCAGTGCTGCCTCCTGCATCCTTCACCCACACTGGCTCCCAGCCAGCCTCATTCCCTCCCTTTACTCACCCCTCCAAAGTCCCCTGGCCCAGGGCCTCTATGTACTGCCTCATCTAGAGAGATCTTAAATTTTAATGTCACTCATAACGGTAAAGGCTGCAGGCCAGCCCCTGGTGATAACGCAGCCCCACTGGCCACAGCAAGCACGGCACACACTAGGTATGCCCTCCTCAGACCAGCTCCAGCCCTATGCGTGATCCCCAACTGCTCTGCGTGCCCAAACCTTTAGTGGGTCCATGCCTCCTGGGCTCTTCCCACCTACACAGGCACCTATCATCATGCCCCTGGGGTGACAGCTCCTGACACAGCAAGCCCACCTACAGGCCTACAAGCAGGCCTGGGGACTCTCCATCCCTCCAGACCTTCCCTAGCTGCTTCCCTTCGCACCCCGCCCCACGGACCAGACTAACAGTCCATTGCCAAAGCCCAGCTGAGTACCGGGCAGTGGTGGCACTATCCTCACCGAGAGCCCACCAGCCTGGGCCAGCCACACCTCCCCCATGCCTTGCCAGCCTCTCTCTCAGGACCTGGCTCCAGGCCCACGCGCATCGTTGCTGGGTGAGCCCAGGGACTCTGGAACCACCAGTCCCCCAACCCGCGCCTTAAGGGGTCTTCCTCTGCCCCCTCCGCCTTGCTCAGCAGGCGCCAGGCTGGGGATTGAAGGCGGCAAGCCAGTGGAGATAGCGGCTCAGCCAGCTTGTCACGCCCCAGCAGGGCCTTCCCCCCTGCCGCCCCCGCAGCGCCTCGGGGCACCGGCCTTGCCTAGGCCCCAGCGCCCCGCTCCTCGCCTACCGCCGCTGCGCGAGCCCGGCCGCCCCGCCACCTGCGAGCGCTGCTGGGACGCCGAGCCGCCGCTGCTCCGGATTCCACTCTCGGGTTGCTCCAGGCCTCCCGCTGCGCCCCCGCTCCCTCCCCGCGCCCGCCTGGCGACCCGACGGGGTTGAGGGACCGGGGTCGAACCCGGGCCCTGATCAGCACCTGTCCACGGCGACACCACTGCGCAGGGGCGGCGCGGGGAGGCGGGACACCCCCGGCTCCCTCCCCGATGGTCCTCACACCCTTTCACGCCCTGAAATTCCACTGCAGTCCCCCAGGCTCAAGCCCAGTACATCCACTGGGACGCATGGACCTCACTCACCGCCAGCGGGCAGCCTGGAGAGACCCCCGCCCACGCCCCCGCAGCTGGCCGGGAGGTGGAGGCGGGGCCGGCCACCGGGCTCGCTGCGGTTGGTCCCACTGGACCCCAGGGGTGGCCATACGGCAGCCAGCGGGGAGGGCCACCGCGCAGGCAGAACAGCCTCGTCGTGTCCAGAGAGCTGGGGACTGAGGTGCTCTGTCCCTCACTGGACAAATCCCAGCATCAGGGGTTTATGCCAAACAGGGAAATGGGTGCAGTGGCAGATGAGCCGCATCCAGCCCATCCAGGGTGCAGGTTGGGTGGGGGGTGGGGAGGGTGTGCGTGTGTGTCCCATCCCAGTCTGTCCATCCTAAGGAACGAGGTCGTCCTGTGTGAGCCCAAAGCAGGGAGCACGTCTGCTCTGCAGTGTTCCCAGCCCTCACGACCAGGCTGAGATGGGAAGGCAGGCCCAGAGCCCCAGTTTGCAGCTGTTCCAACCAGTTAGGGAGTTGCAGGCGAGGACTACAAACCAGAATACCAAGGTGGCTTCTGCTGTCCCCAGGTCCCACGGAGTCAGTTCGCCTCACACAGATGTGTGGAACAGTGGAAATCCTGCCTGGGCTTCCCTTGCCACTCTTGCAGTTGTTCTATTTGAGCCCGTTGTTACAGCTCAGTCCATGTCCATGGGGGTTTTCCTCTTCACTGACCCTCTACCAAGCATGACTAGCCCTTCCTGTGTTGTTGTTAGATCCTGTTGAGCCGGTTACGGCTCACAGTGACCCCACGCACAACAGAACGAAACACTGTCGGCTCCTGCGCCATCCTCACAATTTCCTATGCCTGAGCCCAGTGTTGCAGCCACTGTGTCCATCAGTCTTGCCCAAGGGCTTCCTCTTTGTTGTTATCACATTGCTTTACCAAGTATGCGGTCCTTTTACGGAGCATTCTAGCAGCACCTCCAGGGGATGTGTCTGCTCTGGAAGCCCGTGGTACTTTCAATGTCCTTTGCCAGCTCCACCATCCTAATGCATCCTTTTCCCTCGTCTTCCGTAGGCACTGTCGACTTTCGCATGCAGGAGGCTACTGAAAATAGCAAGGCTTGTCAAGCACACCTTAGTCCTCAAGGCGAGTTTTGCTAACACATTAAAGATGACACCTGAGAGCTGGGAAGAGCAAGGGTGTTGACCAGCCTTGAGCCTCCAGAAATTAGCCTGGCTTCTAATCCAGTTGGATTTCTGACATACGGAGCTATAAAGTAACGTGTGTTGCTTCAAGCCACTAAGTTGGAGGCAATTTATTGCAGCAGGAATTAGACATTAGTACAGTTGCCCATCTAAGATTATTTACTTGAAAGAAACAGACTATCTGTGGCCAGTGGGCGTGCCTTAAAGTAGCATCTAATGCAACCACGAGGTGTCGAAGGGATCAGGTGTAAGGCATCATCAGAACAAAAAATCTTACCATAGTGAATGATGGGGGGAGTGCAGAGTGGAGATCCAAAGCCCATTAATAGGCCACTGGAGATCCCCTTGCAGAGGGGTCTTGGGGAGATGAGCCAGTCAGGGTGCGATGTAACTGAGAAATACAACTTTCCTCTAGTTCCTAAATGTTTCCTCCCCGCTCCCACTACCATGACTCGAATTCGATCTTGCAAGTCTGGCTAGACCAGAGGTGGTACACTGGTACAGATAGGAACTGAAAATACAGGGAATCCAGGACGGATGAGCCCTATAGAACCAGTGGTGTGAGTGGCAAAACAGGGAGGGTAGAGGGAGAATGGGTAGGAAAGAGGGAACCGATTACATGGAACTGTGTGTGACCTCCTCCCTGGGGGACAGACAACCGAAAAGTGGGTGAAAGGAGACGTCAGACAGGACAAGATATGACAAAATACCCATTTATAAACTATCAAGGGCTCATGAGGGAGCAGGGAGCGGGGAGGGAGGGGAAAAATGAGGACCTAATGTCGGGGGTTTAAGTGGAGAGAAAATGTTTTGAGAATGATGTACAAATGTGCTTTACACAATTGATGTGTGCATGGATTACGATAACAGTTGTATGAACCCCTAATAAAATGTTAAATATATATATATTTTGAGAACGATGAGGGTAACGAATGTTCAAATGTGCTTTACACAACTGATGTATGGATTGTGATGAGTTGTATGAGCCCCCAATGAAACGATTAAAAATAATAATAATAAAGTAGCATCTAAAGGGTGCACTCGATGGGGGGGAAGCAATCCCAGATACATGGTCAGAGAGGCAAGGTGGAATAGAGAAAAATGGCAAACGTGTGGAAATCTAAATAAACATGGGGGACATTTTTGTAAAGTAAAATAATAAAAACAAAAAAACCCAACAAATAATAATAATAAAAACAAAAATGGACATGGACCGAGTCAGACCCAACTCAATGGCAGTGAGTATATTAACAATATTAATAGCAAATAATAATGATTAGAAATAAAGTTTTCGAAAACATGAAAGGTAAGCCAATACCACATAAAGTACGAGGGAAATGTGCAGTTAACTTGAGCGAGTCAAGGCAGTACACATAATTCCTAGGATAAATACTGAAGGAATATAAACAATGTCTAGCTTCCCAATGGGGAAGAAGTCATATTCACTGCAAGAGGTGTGAGGGGGATAGAGCCACCAGAAAAATGCATTCACCCCAAACTCACTGGCATCCAGGTGCTGTTTCCTAGACTGCAACCCTTCACAGGAGTTGAGAGTTCCATCCTTCTCCCATGGAGCAGCTGGTCGTTTCAAACTGCTGACCTTGGGGTTAGCAGCCAACACACAACCACTATGCCACCAGGGCTAGAAAAATTAGAAAGCCTTCCAAGAGACTGTACACTTAAACTCTAACATTCAGTACTTACATTGAATTCAATGGCTGTAGATGAGGAGGTCTGGTAGCGCAGTGGTTATGCATTCAGCTGTGATATGTAAGATCAGGAGTTTGAAGGCACCAGCTGCTTCGCAAGGGGAAGATGGGTCTTTCTACTCCCATGCAGTTAGTCTCAGACACTCATGGGGTAGTTCCGCCCTGTCTTATAGGGTCACTGCGTAGGCATCAGCTCGATGGCAGTGATTTTCAGTGTGGAACTGTGTGGTAGTT